TATTAACATTTATTTAGTATTTAGCAAGTAAATCTGTTCCAGGCATTATATTAAGCTCTTTACATGTACCAACTCATTTTAATTCTCAACAACACTAAGAAATAGATACCATTATTTTGTCGATAAAAAGAGGCACAGAAATTAAGTAACTTGCTTAAGCTCACCTATCAAGTAATGGCAGAGCCAGGATTTGAACACAGAGAATCTGAATCCAGAATTCCTGCTTTTAGATATCACCTAATACATAGTAAGGATGGGAGGAGGCAGCTACCAGGGAGACTGCTGCCAAGATTTCCATTCCTGTAGCCTCAGGACATCCTTATGACTAAGGGATAAAAAAGATGACCAAGAAAGGGTTTAATAAACAAAAGTTTGACAGTCTTGTGATATACGACATACTCCTCTAACTAACCATCTCACTCTACCCAGAGTCATGATCCTTGTGTATAAAAAGGGCTAGAGAACTGGCCTCTTCTTAATTGGTTAGACTTGAACAAGTCATATATAAACTTCCAAGTCATCAGTGTTCTCATTTCCACAATGTAATTAACAGTATTTTATAGGACTATGAAGGATCCAATGGGATTCTGTATATGAAAGATCTTTGTAAATTGTGAAGGGGTTGGCGTTCTTCTTATTCTTATTATCCAGTGACCTTTTCCAGCCCTTAGAAATTGAGTTGTTAATACCTTTTTCTAAATGTTTCTGGAAGAGAATCAACCCTCTTCCCCACCTTTCACTTCTCTATTCAATCTCTTTCTCATATCCCCTCTGTATTATTCTGCAACTTGATCTGGGTGCCCTGTAGCTAAGGACTGGCTGTGTTTTCTTTGTTCCTCAGTTCTCTAAAAGTCCTGAGAAAGGAGAGGCCAGATCCCAGGTCATATACATTCAGGGAAAAAAGACATGTTAAAATATTTACAGCTCTTGGCAGGAGCTTAAAAGCCTCCATATAAGTCAAGGACTGAGTTTTTTAGTAGGAATTGCTAGGGATTGGGGGTTGGGGGTTGAGTGGTAGGTGAAGTTCAGACGTCACTTCCTCCCGAGGGTGTCTTACAGAGCCTCTGTTCTCCTGCAGGTAGTGAGGAAGAAGGAAAAGGATATTTAGGGTCAGAAGGTCTGGGCCAGGGGACATTAAGCATAGAAGGGGCCTTGCTCTTTTGTATTCAGTTTTGGAGTGGGTCAATTTCCTTGTGTTCTAAACAGGATAGCCCTGAAGAACAGAGGCCACAGAAGTCCAGAGGGTTGGAGACTGCAATAGTAGTTTTGAACAAGCATTTCAGTGACCACTTAGAGAGCCTCCATTAAGATGATTTAGTAGGCAAATCAGAATGAAAATATTTCTATTTTTTGTTGCAAACAACAAAACAAAATCTCCAAACCCTTGTTTGAGACTAAGATTTCAATATAGTAGGATTCACCATCTTGATTTTTGGTTATTTAAATGTCTGAGCTGGAAGGTATTTTACAGACCACCTCATCCTACCCCATCTGGTGCCCATTTTATAAGTAGAGAACTGAGTACTAGAAAGATGTGACCTCAATCAACATTACAGTCAGATGATTATAGTGGAGATTGGTTTGTAAGAGGGTTTGGGAAATAGGTGCAAAGGATGGGGCTTTTGGCACCCTAGGGGGTCCTCAATCCAATTCAATATCATACTGTCCCATGTTCTCTCCCTGAATTTTTCCGAAGTCAATCCCCAGGCATTACTTTGTGTAGATTGTAATGTGTTTTTAACAAATGTGATTTATTTATTTAATATGAAATAAAATTCAAGGGGTACAACACTATAAAGTCTCTCTCCAACCCCTGTCTCCCAGTTACCCTGTTCCCCTCCCTAGAGGCCACCAGTATTGTCTGATGTGTCCTTCCAGAGATATTCTGTTTATGTACAAGCAATTGTGTGTGTGTGTGTGTGTGTGTCTACACATTCTATTTCTAAAGCACAAATGGTAGCCCATACTTTATATTATCTTCCACCTTGCCTTTTATACTTAAAATATATTTCTTGGATGTTATTATACATTAAATCCATAATCCTTCACTCTTTTTTTTATAACTGCACAGTATTCCATTATATGGGTATATCATAATTTATTTAATCAATACTTTGCTAATAGGCATTAAAGCTGTTACTAATCGGGGCGCCTGGGTGGCTTGGTCGGATGAGCGTCTGACTTTCGCTTAGGTCATGATCTCGCGGTTCGTGGGTTCGGGCCCCACGTCGGGCTCTGTGCTGACTGCCAGCTCAGAGCCTGGAGCCTGTTTCGGAGTCTGTATCTCCCTCTCTCTCTGACCCTCCCTGATCAGGCTGTCTCTCTCTCTCCTAGAAATAAATAAAAATATTTTTTAAAAAAGCTGTTACTAATCTTTGAATATGGGCTTTGGAATCAAACAGCACTAGATTCAATTAGTTACCACATGGCTGGCTTTGACAAAGGTTTTAACTTCTTGAAGTCTGAGTTTTCTCATGCAAAAATAAGAATAATAACAACATCTTTCATTATTGGTATGGAGATTAAATGAGATGAGGCATACAAAATATCTAGCATATAGTCAGGCACATACTTTGTTCAATAAATGTTAGTTTTCTCCCTGCTCACAAACCCTCCCCATACTCTTAACCTCCAATTCAATTAATGTTGGTTCAATTCAAGTCAATAAGTGTTTATGATGTGCAAGGCTAGACCTTGGATGAGCCAGAGAAGGAAAAGTGTCCCTCAAAAAGTTTATAATTTCTTTGCAAAGACATAACATACCAAACAATTGAAGATTGTTGTTAAGTAGTAAAAACATGTATATATATATAAAATTGAATGTAATTTTTGTGCGGTGATGTGGAAAAGGAGAGATGAGTGTGAGGATTCAAGAGGAATCAAGGAAGGTTTGCTGAGAGAGTTGTAACTCAAAATGGGATTTAGCTAAATGAAGAGGAGCCTATGAATTGGGTAGTTGCAAGATGAGTGTTGAGGATTAGACACTTTAGTTGTTGCTCAGAGTCTGGGTCTTTGTCCTCTGAGACTCCAGTGAGTCGTTGTATCCCATTAGGCCCTGACCCAGAAGGTAGTGGAGTGGAGGGGCAGGAGGAGAGGAAGATACTGAGGACATTTGGAGAGAAGGCCTGGGGTGGGAGGATGTCTGGGCATTGGGCCACGGAATGAGGTGCCTGCAACTGGCTTGTGCCATAGCCTGTCCAACCTACACCACCTGCTCTTCCATGTCAGCAGCCCAGGCACTTTTTCTGAGGTCTGAGAGGAGGGACAAAGGGCATGAGAGCAGAGATGGCAACAGCTCTCAACCCCTTACCCTGAGTCCCAAACAGACATCCACATACTGTGAACCCTAGGAGAGGAGAAGACTACTGAGTGGTGACAATCCCCTCTGTATGTGGTACATTGTACTTTATATCTTAGTTGATGTTTATCCTTGCAACAGAGACAGTTATGAAATAAAATACTAAGTTGAATCTCATCATGTGCCAACATCTTTGATCACAAGTGCTATGTTAAAGGAAAATGGAAAGTCAGTGTGGTTTGTATTTAGTTGGGGTAAAGTTCACAATAGGGAAGGGCTGTGTAGAGACTTATATTCTCATTTTATAGTTGCATAAAATGGAAAACAGACTGAGGGTAAGTGAATGGCCTATGGTCATACACTTAATATTTAGCAGAGGTGAGACTAGAACCCAGGTATCCCAGTTCCATGTTCAATGGGAACAAATACTAGGAGCTCCCTTACAGCTGGAATAGAGCTTTCCCTAAATTTGATAGCAGGCTGATGTTTAAGTGTATGGATAAGAAGAAGTATGGTATGATGAAAAACAGACAAACAATTGGGAAGCAAAAAGTTAAGGGAGATGGAAATGAAGGTCACGGAAGGAAAGATCTGGGCCTCACTAAGGCTTCCTGGCTGGGATCAAGAAAAGCACTGGATTGGGAATCAGGAGACCTGGGTTCCGCCTGTAGCTCTGTTTACTGTCTTTGTGACCCTGATAAGTCCCTTTCCTTTTTCTCGGCCCCAATTTCTTCACTAATGCAATGAGAAGGCTGGACCTCCCAGAGACTTAGTGCTTATAACCAGTTACTTATATAAACCAAAGAGGCCTTAGGGTGCTTCCTGGCAAGGAGTCAGTGGTGATGAGGAATGGTAAGGTAGTAAGAAAACAACTTATCTGATGAAAATGGAAAACAATTCTTCTCAGATTTGAGAAAAGATGAATTTTGGAAAGGGTAGCTATCCTGTGGTCTCCATCCTGTCTCCTTGAAGAATTCCATCCAAGGGGGACAAAGAGTATGTGTGCACAAGTGAGCAAGTACCTCAATTCAAAGCTGATATTTGGTGTAACAGATTGTGATATGCTGAGTCAACATGCCTAGAAATTTTTTGAATATTCTCTACCTTAAGACCACTTTCCTAAGATCTTGGCTTTATCTTTAAAAAAGGGGATTGTGTCTTAAGGGTGAAGTACCACTGAGAATTCTCCTTTCATGGAGCCTTCTTGAGTGAGCACTAATGCTGGAGCCAAACTTCTTGAGTAAATCCTGGCTCTACCACTTAGCTGTGTCCTTAGTCAGGCCACTTAACTGCTCTGTGCTGCTATGTCCTCATTTGTAAGAGGAGGATAATAAGATTACTTACTATATAGGGTTGTTAAATGAGTTATATATAGCTTGAAAGAGTGTCTGGCACGTGATAAGTGCTGTATAAGCATTTACTATTCTTATTATCTCACTAGTAGGCTAGTGTAACCCCAGGTGAGCCCAAGGGAGCTTAGCATTACTCAGTCAGGAATTCTGGGGATAAAGTTACCTTGTCAAGGTACCATCTGGGCTACTCTGATGTTGGTCATCCTTGGGACCAGATTAAGATCTTTAAAGGCCCTAAGAACTGTTTTTCCAACTGCCAACTTCTTAAACAATTCCTTAAATCTGTACTTTTCTCATTTGGGGGGTGGCTCTGCTTCACTGGTGCTCTAAATTCATAACTCTGACCATAGGTCGGGTAATCCTGCACTCATCACATCTATAATCTCCTCCCCGAGTTCTGAGGAAACCAATAACTGTGAGTGGTCTACACATCCACATGCAACAGTTTTGAAACCTGAATACCTCCATCTACAACAGGGTGCTCTGCGTCCCACCTCCTAAGAGCTTGCCAAGATCCTGCCAAACCCTGTGACCTATTGCCAGTTGGGACCTCCCATCCTGTTACTTGGAAGGAGGGTTTATCTTTTGGAGCTAGCAGGAGAGGAGGATAAATGCCTGGAAGTCCCAGCAGGGGCCCCTGCAAGAATCTCTAAACATTGTCAAGTTAAAATTCTGGTGCCCAGTTGGAATGACTGAGTATAATCATAGTAGAGCAGAAGAATGATGAAGACCTCCTGCCTCAAGATGACTAGGAAACCATCCCTCCTTCCCCGAGACCTGACTTCTTCAAGGTCTTCAAATCAGTGATCCTGAAATCTTGGAGACATTATCATTATTGCCATTGCCTTGACCAGATTCTAAGCAACCAAATGATGAACAACAGAACAGTGTGTGTTCCAAGAGCCACAGTGTTTTTTTTTGCCTGGACCTAGATTTTGCCTACTAGCCAAAAACAAGTTTTCCTTAGATCTACAGTCCAACAAGCTAGAGGGCCCCAGTAGCCAGAGTAAGGGAGGTTAGCCATCCCCAGATGGATTTATTTTCTGCTTTGCCCTAGTATGGCACCATTCACATTCAGGCCTAGCCAGACCGGTGCTACCTGCCCTCTTCACAGGATGTCTCAAACATGAAAGGCTCAGGTAGAACAAGTCATATCAGATGTTGGGAGCCTGTGGTTTTTAGGAAGAGAAAGACAGATAGCCAAAGCAGAGAATAGAGAGGGAACACCTATCACCTCAGCTCCTAGCTCCAGAAAGTACTCCTAATGGGCTCCAGAGTATCACTGGAGAACATCTGCTCAAAAAGGCCATGGTTCACTGCTTTGGATACTATGTCTCCCTCTCTCTCTGCCCTCCCTTGATCATGCTCTGTCTTTCTCTCTCAAAAAATAAATAAACATTTTAAAAAAAGAGGGCATGGCTTATCTGTGTCCCATGAGTGAACTTGGGTAATGTCTCCAGCCAGGATGAGCAACCTGCAGACTACTCTCCAGACCATGGCTCAACAGAGAATAGCATTTGCCCTAGGGCCCTCTTTATTTTTCATGGAATTTGTTTTAGCACTAATAGAAAAGGTGGCCTTGGAATGGGAGATCATAAATTAGACCCCGGTGTTCAAATCTCCCTTGCCTCATTTCTTTCTGTGCTGTGTGGTAGGCTCAGGTATGGGATCTGACACCAGACAGATTAACATTAGAGTCCTGGCTTTGCTGTTTACCTAATCTGCAATCTTGGCCAAATCACTTGGCTTTTCTGAGCCTCACTTTCTTTATCTGTAAAATGTGGGGAAGGAGTAATAATGTCTATCTCACAGCCTTGTAAAAAGGCTCAAATGAGAGAATGGATGTGACAATATTTTGAAAACTGGTTTGAGCCGTATATATAAATTATCATCATGGCTGCCAGGTATATAAGTTTATCTGTAGATTTGAACATGTTCTCATGCATGTATGGCTGGATTGAGGCATCACCAATGATACACATATGTATAAGCAACCACTTTTGTGTACAAAATTATACACATAATCTGACCTAAAGCTTGAACTCATGACATAGACAAAGAAAAACACACACATCCATTGGCATACACATACACATTTATTATATGGATAACCCCTTTTTCTTTCTCTCACACATACACCCACACAGGCAGATGTATATGTTTATATGTGCATGCATACATATATGTACAGCTCCATAACTTCACGGATGAGCATACCATACCCTCCAGCTTCTCCCCAGACTATTCAGTTTTCTCAGGATCTAAGAAAGGCCATGTATGTAAATCTCCCCACTTCATACTGATAATATCCCTTTTGTTCTTGTTGGTGCTTCTTCCCTGCTTCCCCTTGTTTGCAGATTAGCACAGCTGCTGCCAAAATTCAAGCTGCAGTATGTGGTATCCACATGTCTGGAAAGCATGGATCCTTGTCCAGTTGCTCTGTGAATAACACTATGAATCTATTCTGCACAATATATTTATAGCCATGTTTGCAAAGAGCTGACAGAGTTTTCAGATTTCTTAAAAACACAATTAATCCAGCCATGAAAATAGTCACTAGCTCCCATTCCCTTAGGCTAAAAGAAATTGGGTATAAGGCCTAATGAAAATTAGTCACAGAGCCTAAATGAGGTTGAATTTCTTGAGGTTGAATTTCTCTCTGTCTCTCTCGGTCTCTCTCTCTTTCTCTTTCCCTTTCTTTTCCTCTCCCTCTCCTCTCTCACTTTCCTTTTGCCAATTCCTTTTATTCCAAGGATCTCTGAATCTAATTTAAGGTGGGTTGTGGTGGCATGGGGTGTAATTTGCTTCAGAGAGAGTCTGAAGTCATCAGAGCCTAATGTTTTGGGAAGCACAAATAGAAGGAAAAGGAGAAAAATAAATTTAGTGTGTCAAGGATTATAAGCACAAAGAACATAGAAGGGGAATTAAATGAGGTGAGAACAAAAGGAGGAGGGTTAATGTCTACCATGAGGCCAACTAGAATGGCAAAAAACCCCAGCCTCCCCTTAATCACTGGGACATGAGCTCAGAAACTGTTTTGCTTAAATGCAAGGTTAGAGCACTAAAAAGAATCTCTAGTGATAGAATTGAAAAGTTGAGCATGGTTAAAGAACAAGCTGTTTTCCCAGGAAGACAGTAGGCCCAGGCCTGATGTGATGGGCCCCATCCCAGGTGGTCAAGCCATGACCCAGGGTGAAGAAAGGTTTAGGTATGCTATCAGATAATTTATTATCCACACTTGGATACTTTTGAGAGTGAAAGGAGGCACTATTAATATTATGCTGGATTAACAAGTATAAATTAGGTTTGTCCCAGGCAAACCAAGATGTATTTTCTTTCTAGGTTTAGGCCACACTTCTCCAGCTTTCCAGGAAAGGGCAAACTGTAAGTGATCCTCAAAAGATAACTTAAAAATGGGGGGGGGGACACCTGGGTGGCTCAGTAGGTTAAGCATCTGACTTTGGTTCAGGTCATGATCTCACAGTTCATGAGTTCAAGCCCCACGTCAGGCTCTATGCTGACAGCTCAGAGCCTGGAGCCTGCTTTGGATTCTGTGTTTCCCTCTCTCTGCCCTTCCCCTGCTTGTACTCTGTCTCTGTCTCTTAAAAACGAATAAACGTTAAAAAAAGAAGAAGAAAAATGTGTGTGTGGGATTGAGTAGTAGGGATCAAGGAAGGGAGATTCAGCCTTGAGACTGGGGATTGTTCACTCTAATATTAAATCTTTCTCTTGTTGTTGTCCATAAATATGTAATGGAGCTTCTTTCCAAGTATGTTTATTTCCTGGTCAGCTTCATAAGAGGAGGAACTGTGTGTGTATGTGTGCTTGTGTATATGCAGCTTTGTGCATTGCATGTATATGCTTGTGTTGAGGATAAACTAGCAATTGTCACAATAATCCTGACTTGGTGTTAACTGTCAATCCATGCATTTGACTGAAAGTCCAGCTATTTCTTTAAAGTTTCTGAAAACCAGTGCTTGGCAAGTATGGGAAGAAGCTGCTTAAGAGCAAGCTTGAGGTTCCTGTAAAGCCTAGATTTGAGCTCAAGGGGGAAGGTTTGACAGCTGGCCAGTTCTCTTAGGCCTGACCCTCTGAAGCACCCTGCCAGATAGTGGAAATTTTCTGTGCTTTGAACATCATCTAACCTCCTTACCACCACCACCACCACCACCACCACTACACACATACACATACACAACCTACAGATGAGTTTTGCCTTGTGTAGACAATCCTGGATAGTGAAGATCTACTAAAGGCTTTTATAGGATGCAGGCCAGATGTAAGCTGAAAGTGTTTCCAGGCTTAGCAATAAAAAACAGCAATAAGACAGCAATAAGAACAATAAGACGCCAGTCCTTGACCTTTCTACTTCTGCCCTCATCACTTTGGGCTTTGAGCATGGGAAATGGTTAATGAGGCCCCAGAATTGTTAGGGTTGGCTGTTGGAATGGGAATTTATGCCTCCAGGAGAAGAATGGAAGACTACCTCATGAGCCTTGACCTGTTATGTCTGTGGCTGAGGAGTTAGCCGTGCAAATGAGCAAGTGCAAGCCATGTGTTAGCCCAGTGCTAATGAAGTCAAAATCCCATACTGTGGTTCAGTACTCATCTGAATAAACTCAGCTTTCTTGAGGCTCTGTTTAGGCTGTATCCATTTGCCTGACCAATCACACAAAGGATGAGGCAAAAGAGTATGGGGTGCTATAGCACAACTCTGAGAAAATAGTACAGCTTTCACTCCTAGCTATATGTCCATTCAAATTCAGCCAATATTTATTGAACATTTTACTGTGTGAGCACCATGCTCACTTTTACATGTATTAATTACCTCGTTGAACCCTCTCAACAGCCTTGTGAAGTAAGATTAATCTCATTAGGATACACCAAGAGGTAAAGTGGTCTTTCAAAGTAAAACAGCTAGAAATGGGGGAATCAGAATGTAACCACAACTCTGCTTGATTAATGGGATTAAATTCATTTACATTTCAAAGAAATTATTGAGAGCCCATTGCATGCCTGACACTATGCTAAGATTTTTTTCCATGATACAAATCAAAACCACATTGAGATGCCATCTCATACCAGTCACAGTGGCTAAAATTAACACTCAGAAAACAACAGATGTTGACAAGGATGTGGAGAAATGGGAACCTTCTTGCACTGTTGATGGGAGTATGGAGGGTCCTCAAAAAATTAAAAATACAACTACCCTAAGACCCAGCAATAATACTGCTAGGGATTTATCCAAAGGATACAGGAGTGCTGATTCATAGGAGCACTTGTACCCCAATGTTTATAGCAGTGCTATCAACAATAGCCAAATTATGGAGAGAACCCAAATGTTTAGCAACTGATGAATGGAAAAGAAGATGTGGTGTAGATATAGATATAGATATAGATATAGATA